ACACATAATAGCATTTTATAAAGCTTATGGGTGGACTTATCTAGTGCGTATGCGTATATGTAGGTGTGCGCAGCTTAAAAGTTATGGAAGTGTGGGGCATGCGTAGCGGATGTTTAGAGTGTTGTTTTAATTATATTTGATTTATATTGATGCATTTTCACTTTCTGTGTGCTTCTATGTAAATGTTATCTACATACCAATGTATGTATGTACATATGTATGCATTGCACTGTTCTTTTTCTATGCACCCCGCTTAAGCCTTTTATTGTTCGCTTCTTTTTTTGTCAATAAAACTATTTTGATTTAATTTATGTCTCTCTGTGTTAAGTAATTATGATTTGTTATTTTCACAATTAATTTTTAATTTAAATTTATTTCTCTTAATTACTACTATTTTGTAATCATTAAGTTCGACATTCGATTTTAAATAGTTTCATTAGTTTGCAATTTTCCACTTAATATTATTCACGCACATACACACACATATAAATACTACATACAATGGTATTTTTGATGCGCTGCTGTTGCTTTTGCTATTATTTTTGTTCATTTCAATTCAGATTATTAATTATTCAAAATTTCACATTTTATCTGTATGCTTGCTAAGATTTGAGGCCATGAGAGCAGAAGTGGCCTAACCCTAACATTTTTTGTTTTTTTGTACTTCCCTACTTAAAATTGTGTCAAATGTGATAAATTTTAAAATAAAAGCCGCTTATTTCTCAATTTTAAGGCACATAGCTACATACATAACTTACCAACAAATTAAGGAATAAGCGACATTTATTTTAAAATTTAAGATTTAAAATTTATCACTTTTGAAATTTATTTAGGTAAGGAAGTACAAAAAAAAAAAATAAAAAATTGGGGTGGGCCACTTCTGCGCTCAAGGCCTCATTTAGAGTTTTTATTTTCAATGTTAACTTATCTCCCACAAAAGCAGATTTCCCACAGCTGTATTGTTTTCCGCTTGCTGGGCATTCTCATTTTTCGCCAATTATCTATGCATGCAGATTAGAGTGGTCCAAAAAAATTTTTCCCGGATAGGGGGCTGGGTATTAAACGTTACTTTTCTAAGTATAAATTTTGAGGATGCTCATATTTGACTCTAGAAGTATTGCGTACATATGTATATTAATCAAACAATTGGCTAAGTAACCTAAGAGCATTTCAAATTTAAATTATCTAAAAAAATATCACAAGCTTCAGTTGTCATGGCAACTTTGGCAGTTTCGCAGCGATCCAGTAGCGCATTTCAAGGTCATTGAGCACCCCGAATTGGCTGCAGTTGAAAACTGAAAGTTGGTTGATATAGATATTACAAATATCAAAAGGAAAAAGAAACTAAGAGGGTGCCTAGTTTTCTAGGATGACTTTTTCCCCCATACAAAAATTTGACCACTCTAATGCAGATAGTATCTAAGTAGGTACATACATACATACCTACACAGTAGAATCCCTACCTTATACAACATAATATTAGCATATTGTGCTCATTTCCAACTGAAATCGATTACTTCCGCTTTGTGCCGTTATCGGTTGGAAGGCGGCACCATCATTCATCCGTTTTGCATACTTTGCTTCATCCAAATGCAGTGTGCTCGGCGTGATGGATGCAGGGTTGCTTTATTGGCGGTGGCGATGCTGTTGATGGTACTAACGGGCGGTGGTTGATTATTGTACTGTGGGCTTTTACAGCACAGTCTCCATTTCCGCAATTTCCGTTTTGTAGGACCTTAATGAATACGATTTATTATTAGATTTTAAGAGAAAATTGCGAATAAGTCCAAAAAAGGAAAGCAAAAGGCAAACAGCTGAATTGTATTGGTTGGTTGCTAAGGTTGTGCGTGCAGTGTTGGTGGGGCTGAGACTAAGTAAATGTGACTTATGTTGTTTGTGGCTGATGAGTGACTGATATTTTTGTTGACTTACTAACTGGCTTCCGGAGGGAGTAGGTAAATGTGTTTGTGGAAAAGTATGGCGTGCAGTAGACTTTGTTGTTTCTATTGTTGTTGTAGCAGCTTACCTACAGCAGAGGAGTAGTCCCTGTCAGCGCAATGGTATACGAGTGTAGGTTAAGAAAAGGCACTCTTTTGTGCGGATATTCGCAAAAATTCTTTCGAAAATGTGTTGATTGATTGTCTATTTGGTTAGCCACATATGTACATATGTACATAGCTATATACATATGTATGTATGTATTAGACGTCTGCATGGATCCATTCAAAATCGCAAATAAATCATTCATATTCAAATGGAATGAACGATTTTGGCTTTGAATTTTATTGATTTTTTTTATTTGTAGCTTTGAGAACTTGAAAGTCCAGAATGACAAGGAGAATCCTTAAAACACCAGTTTCACCATAATCAGAAATCAAAGAAACTCCATAGGAGAAAAAAAACAATAAATAAAAAAAATAACAATAGCTATAAAAATAAAACTTCTATATAAACTCAAATATAATTTTCAATAAAATAAAACAATACATTTGAATAAAAATAACATTTAATAATTTATATATGAACTGTAAAATTCTTATTTTGAATTTTAATATATATATATTAAATTTAGTATCAATATAACATACATTTTTTACTCATTTAATTATAATTTCTATATTAATTAATTTAATTTTTTTAAAGCTCTATTTTTTAATAAATTTTTATTTTTTTATCTACCTATTTGGTGATTAATTACCATTAGTTTTTCTTTTTTTTCTTTTAAATAAATATATCCAACAACAATTAAAATAAACACAACAACAAAAACAAAAACTCTGTTTAACAACAAAAAAAAAACTCTGTTTAACTTGAAATTTGAATCAAATCATGCAGAGCTCTAGTATTTATGCATGCAAATACTAGGGTGGTCTAGATTTTTTTTCTAGCCATCCCACAGAACTGAAGAATATTAAGAATAAGGAGACCCTATTGTTTACTTTGAAATTGGTTAAAATTTTATGGTGTCGGCAGAGCTTTGAAGTACCCTATGTATTTTATATAAAGAAAATGCATTAATTCGTATAATTGCATAAAATCGTTGAAAGTAAATATTCCTTGATCGAATTAGAATGTTTTACTTAAACAAAAAAAATGTGATGCATATTAAACATTAAAATTTTACTAAATATTTTTCATAACCGATGTTTTTATCTCCTAGATATAAAAATGAGAAAAGATTTGTTTTTGTAGATATGCATCATAATTTTATTATTTAAAAATTTTTGAGGAGAAATATTTGTATTCGATTAAAAATATTTTTCTAACGATTTGTAGGGAAAATCTAAAATTTTGAAATTACCTAAAAAAAAAAACGCCGAAACATGTAAACTTAATTTTGAGTCGTATATTTCGAATCTATATTCTGTTTTTCTGGATCCGGTAATTTTCCCAACATATTTTCATTTCTATAAAAAAAAACTCAAATTTGAACAGAAAAAATAAGAAATAACAGATTTTTGTAAATTATTTCAATTGCACTAAAGCTTGTGCTTTTAACAAAATACTAAGCTACTAACGAAGAAATCGATGGATAAATGAATAAGCTGTGAATGGTCAAATGAAAATACGTAATGATTTTTTTTCAGGGACCGTAACGATTATGATCTTTATAATAAAAATCATAATTTAAGCGTTAAAATTAGATGTCCATTTTTTCTATAAAATTTAACTGTTATTTTATGATATTTATTTTTATTTTAATACGGTCATAAAAATTTTCGAAATTATTCAAAATTCAAAATAACGGTCACATGTGACGGAAAAAATAAAAACCATAAAATAACGTTTAAATTTGACCGAAAAAAATAAAAATTCATTTCGAACGGTTATTTTTGATCGAAAAAATAAAAACCAAAAATCACGATTTTGCGATGATCTAAAAGTCGGGATAGTCAACGGTTATTTTCGGTCTCAAATTTTTTTTTGGTTGAGATTTGAGCAGAAAATAATGTTACTCGCGCGCAATACAGAGTATGTTATTTTTTTTTAATTCTCCCTGTTACAACTTTGGACTATTTCTCATTCACAATGCAAACTTAAAATAAAAATTCTTTGGAAAATGACCTGATCTAGAAAAACGACCGGAATGTACGACCCAAAACTAAGTTAACATATTTCGGCGTTTTAGTGTCAAAATTAAAAAAAATATGAGTTTCTTTTTCTAGCAGTAAAATTCTGAAAAGTAATTTCTTTTTGTATTTTTGGAACACCCTGATGTACATATTGCATGTACCTACATATGATATGGTTGCTGTCAATGATTAAACTGATGAATGGCATGCCAATAATTGAGTTGAGTAAGCAATTCTTATTCTCAAGGTCACTGTTGCTTATGAAAATACGAACGTAGTATTGACCGTATGCGGTTTATTCATGCGATGCTTATAAAAATTTCCAAGTTCAATCATTAAGATTTAAAATTTTTTTTTTTTTCTGACTACATTACAAATTTTTCTCCATACAAAGTAAATTCGACATTTTTTTTTTGTATGGAAAAAAATGCGTCATGAAGTCAGAAAAAAAAATTAAAAATCAACGCGACTTTTTAGCAACTAAAGACTTGAACATTTTTACCCTAGAATTTAATGGGCTATTAAACTGCATACTCAAAAAAATCTATAAAATCTGAAAGAAAAGGTTGAAAATTTAGCTGAAACTTTGCAGATTTTTCATAATTTTTGCAAAAAGTTTGAAATCTGGATTTATATGGTGTTTGTTATATAATGAGCTAGAAAGATAGCCAAAATTGATCAAAATGTTGCTGGCTTAATTGAGAATTGAAGTCGGTTTTGTTGTTTTTTTTGGTAAAAATTAATTATTTTATGAAAGTGCAGCCGATTACTTAACAAACACGATATTTATCAGTTAAAATTTCAGACTTTGTGCAAAAATTATGAGAATTCTGCAAAGTTTGACCAAAATTTCTAACTTTTTGATCAGCGTCTTTAGACAATAAATTTAATAAAGCAAAGTGCGAAGTTTCTTGGACTTACCGTTGTTTTTTGGCAATTATTTTTTTTTGTTGAGGGTAGTCCGCATGTTTTCATATAAACATAAATGTTCGAACATAAATTGCCAAAATTCAAGGGTAAGTAATAGCATCTACAGCTCAAGCTCTTTCATTTGACACCTCATTTTCGAAAATCGAACGAACGGTGCAGATTTGATTTGAGGGACAAAAAATGCCTTTGGGTATTATATGTATTATTTTTTTGTTGTTGTAATTTTGCTTACTTATTTTTCGCTCTGTCACTTTTTAAAGAACCAGTCAAAGTATACTATAAAAACCGCGAGTTTCAGAAAAATTAAAAAAAAGGAGTCACGCAACTTTGACTCTTCAGAACTTATTTTCTATTGCAAGCACATCTCCACCTATAATGGTTTATCAAATTATTAAAATAAATTTAAGTAAAAGGTCTGACATTTTAAGAAAAAGCAATTCCTTAGTTTTTTTCATATGTATAGCTCAATATGAGATAACATGCCAAAAAATGCAATTTGAAAATTAATTTCGACAAAATTTCATTAGGTAATAAAGCATTCAGATAGGCAAACAATTCAGATTAATGCATCGAACTATAAATAATTAAATAAAATCAGAGAAATTCCAATAAATGGAAAATTCGGAAATTTAATTTATTATTTAGTACAAGTAGACTGAGCATGTTTTAGTGATCAATTTAATATGCATTTTAAATTCGTAAATATACATTTACATAAATATACATACATACATCATGAAGAATTCCCTAGTTGTCAACAGATTTCGCACCTACATACATACGTATATAAATGTATGTGAGTAATTACTTGACACCTGCATACAAAGCAATGCCAATAAAAACGAAATGGATTGTAAAAAGTGGCCCACTGCTGCTATTAAATTGTCATTTTAAAGCTCAGGCATCAGTGGCATTAATTTATAAGCCTTCAGCTTATTTGTTGCGGTTTCATGCGTAACCACAATTACAGTCACACTTTTGCATGAAGGTGTATTAAATAAATATACATATTTACATATACATAAATATATATATATATGTATCATCACTTAATTAAATATGCAAGTGTAAATGACCAGAAAGGCGGAAATCAGTGTTAATTTATGCAAAGAATAAATGAAATATGGGCTCTGCTTAGAGAGCGGTTAAATCAAGATGTACATATGTAGCTAAAAGTAGAAAATAATAGTTATACCTGCACTCATGTAAATAACTTAACATATTTGTGGAACCTTTTTACCCTCTAACTGCTTCTGCTGCTAAATTCCAGAATTGGGGTTAAAAGGAACCGTTCTGGTAGGAACTAAAATGTTCTAAATTTATACACACGTATCCTAACAAAATAATTCTGTTTAATGTCATTTTATACATTCATATGGACATACATATGTATGTATTTGTGTATATCAAAATTTAATTTTTAACGAAGTCGTGGAAACTTTTACCTACCGAAAAAAATAATTGTGATGAGATCGATCAAAACTGATTGAAATTTGGCTATCACGTTTGTATAATAATGTTTGGACATAGCCTGGTTGAGACCCAAAAACGGCATTTCCATTGCGTTGGAAAAACAATTGACCATTCTTATTTTCAAGGAGGCAACGATTTCACAACCTCAAAAACAAGTCAGTTCTGGGGAAAATATCCACATAAGTTTTCACTAAAAAACGTCTTAAATCTCAATAAAATCTTTTAACACAAATAATAAAAAACATAAAATAAGAAAAAA